CCCCGCCCCTCCCGGGCCCGAGGCCCATTCCACGTCCTGCGGACGGTGCGCTCCCCAAGGGATCTAGGCCCCCAAACGGGACGCCCACCGCGCCCCCAGGCCTGCCTAGCGACGCCCCCCGCAGCCCACACTCTCCCGTAACTCTTTCCTCGCCGCCGCCTACTTACCGACGCCAGCGCGGGAGTCTGCGCCCCTCAGGGCCGGCCGCTGCCTATCCTCTCGAATTCCCATGGGGACCCTCGAGCGCCCCTTCCCCACTCGCCCCCAAGTCTGGGGCCACTGGAAGACGCCCCCTTCCTTGGGCGGAACCCGAGCTGCGCAGGTTCCTGGCGCGGGGCTGGGCCTCCCCAGATCCCCAGGGCCGCGACCCCAGCGCCCCTGCGCAGCGCTCAGCCGAGGTCCCCTGCGAGGCCCGGGACCCTTCCCCCCGCCCCCAACTCCCGCGGAGATTCCATCTCTATTTTTTGGGAAGGGGAGGCTCGGCGGAAGCCCCGAGTTATAATTAGCTCCACTCGGGTTTCCTAGTTAATCTCCAGCACCAACCCCCAGCTTGGGGCGGCGGGGGCTGCGTGGGGGGTGACCGCCGGGAGACAGGGGGGAGTTCCGACCCGGGGAATTTTGATCCCTTGGCTGGAGATGCCGGAACAGCAGCAGCTGCTGCCCTAAAATAGCAAACCCCGCCCCTGCACGGGGGATCTCCGGAGCTCCGGGAATAGAGGCGTCCCAGCTCGCCCGTCAGGCCCCTCCACAATGCCGCAAGCCCCCAGGCCCCCACCCCAAGTTCCCGGCGCCCGGGCTCGGGCGGGGAGCACGATCCATTTCTCGGTCTCTACTGCCTCCCGCTGGCGGCGGAGTGCACCGCAACGTCGGATGGATGGGGCTCGAGGGGGAGGGGGCAGCCAGGGCTGGCGAGCCTGTTTGCTGGGACTAAGAGACGGGGGTGCGCAGCTGACGGGAACTGGCGGGTACCAGTGCGCCGTGCCAAACTGGATGAGGCGGGCAAAGTGGGGCAGTGTGTGGAGTACGCAGGATTTGGGGTGCCCCAGGACCTGGGGTTCCCACACCCTAATGGCCAACCCTGGGGTTCCCAACCCTAATGGCTCCGGCCCTGGCCAACCCAGGAGAGAAACTTGGGCTGCGCCTTCCATCTGCAAGCTCCCCCAACGGAGTCGCCCGTCAGTGAGGGCCGCGCCCCTGTCCTCTGGCCTGTGCGTGGACTGCGGCCTATAGTGCATGCACTTGCCCAGCCCAGCCCACGGAGCCAGGGGAAGGAGGTGAGGGCGGTGGATCCAAGCGGAGCAGGGGAGGGTATTCTTTGGCAGGTCTCATTTCTATACCCTGCGTTTGTCTGGGTTTGTGGCTGCCTGATCTCTCTGTCCCCTCTTGCCTGTCTGCCTGTGTCCTTGTCTCTGCCTGTCTCTCTCCCTCCCTCCATCTCTCTTTTCCTCTTTGCCAACCTGCCCCACCTCCTCTGCAGCTCAGTGATAACCTTTGGGCAAGACTGTTACTTAATCTCATCCTTCCTGCCTTTCTCAAGCCTTCAGCCTTTGCCTTTCTTTCTCCCAGCAGACGACCGCCTGCCCTGGCAGCCATGAGGCCTCCGTGGTGTCCCCTGCACACACCCTCTCTGGCTTCCCCATTCCTTCTCCTTCTCCTCTCCCTCCTAGGAGGAGGGGCAGGGGCTGAGGGCCAGGAGGACCCAGAGCTGCTGGTGACTGTGCGTGGGGGCCGGCTGCGGGGCATCCGCCTAAAGGCCCCCGGGGGCCCTGTCTCTGCTTTTCTGGGCATTCCCTTCGCGGAGCCACCTGTGGGCCCCCGTCGCTTTCTGCCACCAGAGCCCAAGCGTCCCTGGCCAGGGGTGCTGGACGCTACAGTCTTCCAGAGTGTCTGCTACCAATATGTGGACACCCTGTATCCTGGTTTTGAGGGCACAGAGATGTGGAACCCCAACCGTGAGCTGAGCGAGGACTGCCTCTACCTCAACGTGTGGACACCATACCCCCGGCCTGAGTCCCCCACTCCTGTCCTCGTCTGGATCTATGGGGGTGGATTCTATAGTGGGGCCTCCTCCCTGGACGTGTATGATGGCCGCTTCCTGGTACAGGCCGAAGGGACTGTGCTGGTGTCTATGAACTACCGGGTGGGAGCCTTTGGTTTCTTGGCCCTGCCAGGAAGCCGAGAAGCCCCAGGCAACGTGGGTCTTCTGGATCAGAGGCTGGCACTGCAGTGGGTGCAGGAGAACGTGGCAGCCTTTGGTGGGGACCCAACGTCAGTGACACTGTTTGGGGAGAGTGCAGGCGCCGCTTCAGTGGGCATGCACCTGCTGTCCCCACCCAGCCGGGGCCTGTTCCACAGGGCTGTGCTGCAGAGTGGTGCACCCAATGGGCCCTGGGCCACAGTGGGCGTGGGAGAGGCCCGCCGCAGAGCCACACTGCTGGCCCGCCTTGTAGGCTGTCCCCCAGGTGGCACCGGTGGCAATGACACAGAGTTGGTAGCCTGCCTGCGGACACGACCAGCTCAGGATCTGGTGGACCACGAATGGCACGTGCTGCCTCAGGAAAGTGTCTTCCGATTTTCCTTCGTGCCTGTGGTGGATGGAGACTTCCTCAGTGACACACCCGAGGCACTCATCAATGCAGGAGACTTCCACAGCCTGCAGGTGACTAGTGGCTTGTGGGGTGGAGCTGGTTCCTCTGGGTCCCACCAGCCCCTCCCTCCCCCAGGGACCCAGGCATGAAGGCTCCTCCAGACCCGCTCCCAGAGGTCCAGGCTTCTGGGCCTCATGGTCAGTGCCTTCTCCCTGAGGGTTCAGATCCCAGGGTGGTCACGGGGTAAAGAGGAAAGGAACTGTGGGTGTATTTTCTCTTTCTCTCCCTCCCTTCCCCAACCTCATAGTCTCTTCCTCCATGGTTCCAGGTCTATAACTGTTCATCTCTCTGGCTCTGTGTCTGTCCATGTGTTTCTGTCTGCCTGTCTGTCTGTGCCTCGTCCCTTCATCCTGCCCTCCCCCCCAGGTGCTGGTGGGTGTGGTGAAGGATGAGGGCTCCTATTTTCTGGTTTACGGGGCCCCAGGCTTCAGCAAAGACAACGAGTCTCTCATCAGCCGGGCCCAATTCCTGGCCGGGGTGCGGGTCGGGGTCCCCCAGGCGAGCGACCTGGCGGCCGAGGCTGTGGTCCTGCATTACACAGACTGGCTGCACCCTGAGGATCCAGCGCGCCTGAGGGAGGCCCTGAGTGATGTGGTGGGTGACCACAATGTCGTGTGCCCTGTGGCCCAGCTGGCTGGGCGACTGGCTGCCCAGGGTGCCCGCGTCTATGCCTACATCTTTGAGCACCGTGCCTCCACGCTCTCCTGGCCCCTCTGGATGGGGGTGCCCCACGGCTACGAGATCGAGTTCATCTTTGGGCTTCCCCTGGAACCCTCACTGAACTACACCATCGAGGAAAGAATCTTCGCCCGGCGACTGATGAGATACTGGGCCAACTTCGCCCGCACAGGGTCAGCAATGCCGAAGGGAGGAGGGCCTCCGGGACCAGGGAGGTGAGGGGGGAACACACAGAGAGAGGCAGACAGACATACAGAAAGGAAGGGCAGAAGAGAGGCAGAAAAGGAGAGGAAGACAAAAGAGCTGGCATAGGAGTTAGGAGCGTGTAGAGCTGGATTAAGTAGGACCAGTGGTGATTTAGTAGCTGTGACACTCTCTCCTGTCTCTCCCTCACACACACACACACACACACACATCTGTTTACCTGTCTGAAGAAGGGGACAGTCAATCCAGCATCAGATCTGTGTTGTTAAAAGTAAACTGATGTTTTTGTAGAGATAGGACTGGGCCTGGTTACATACTAAGGACTCGATAAATCATAGCAATTATTTTAATGGGAGAAACAAAGCCAAAGATGGAACATAAACTAAGGGAAAGGGAGAGGGGAGACAGAAAGAGGGAGCATAGGAAGAAGAGGAAAACTCCCCGATGATGGGGGATACTGGAGAAGAGAAAGAACGGCTGATGCAGTGGTGGCAGGGAGGGGACCGGTTCTCTACAGCGCCTAAGCGGGCTGGGGTCAGGAAGGCGCCCACCTCCTCCCTCTGTCCCTCTTCCTTCCCCATCCCCCACCCTCATCCCTCTGGGCGGGGCAGGCCCGCACGAGGCAGAGCTCTCCCTCTCCTTCCGCAGAGACCCCAATGACCCCCGCGACCCCAAGGCCCCGCAGTGGCCCCCGTACACGGCGGGAGCGCAGCAGTACGTGAGCCTGGACCTGAGGCCGCTGGAGGTGCGGCGGGGGCTGCGCGCCCAGGCCTGCGCCTTCTGGAACCGCTTCCTACCCAAATTGCTCAGCGCCACCGGTACGCAGTGGGGAGAGAAGGGGCGCGGAAAGAGAGGGGAGTGGGAGCCGACCGGGTGTAACCCCTCTCTTCTCCCCCCAGCCTCGGAGGCTCCCAGCACCTGCTCAGGCCCCGCCCATGGGGAGGCTGCCCCGAGGCCCAGGCCTGGCCTCCCCCTGTCCCTCCACCTTCTCTTCCTTCTCCTCCTCTCCTCCCGGCTCCTGCGGCTGTGACCACGGCCTCCTCCCCCTCCGGCCTTAGGGGGTCCCCCCTCTAATGAGTGGCCGGACTGTGGGGAAGGGCCCCACTCAGGGATCTCCGACCCAGCGCCCCTCCCTCCTCAAACTGAGAGACTCAAACTGGACAGGGGGTTGGGGGTGGGGAGTTGACCTACCACCCGTCTCAGGGACCCACACGCTTTTGTTTAAATGGAAGTGGAAAAGCCAATTATCTTTTTTTATAAAATTATCCTTTGGAGCCTGAGCCTGATGTTGGGGGGGAGAGGGAGGACCCGGGGCTGGACAGCACCCCCCAGTGGACTATAACCGTCAACCTTTTCTGTCTCTTCTCTTTTCCCCACCAACCCACGGATCCTCCCCCTTCTGGTACCTTCTGACCCCCTCTGTCTTGCGGTCATTTTCTCCTCTCTCCTTCCTGCCAACCTCCTCTGGCCCCGCCTCTACCCTCATCCTCCCTCTCGTCTTCGGCACATTCTCCTGGTCCCCTTTCCACCATCCCACGTGTTCTCCGTCATTCTCCATGTGTCCTCCCTGCACCCCCCCCCCCCCCGCACGCCTCCATGTCGGTTCCCCGACCTTCTTCGTGTCGTCCTCCCCCCACCCACTCGCCGGGCGCCGTGGCCGCAGACACGCTGGACGAGGCGGAGCGCCAGTGGAAGGCCGAGTTCCACCGCTGGAGCTCCTACATGGTGCACTGGAAGAACCAGTTCGACCATTACAGCAAGCAGGATCGCTGCTCAGACCTGTGACCCAGGCGGGACCCCCACGTCCCCCGGCCCCTTACCTGTATATACTATTTATTTAAGGGCTGGGATATAACACAGACGAACCCCAGACCCTGCCCATCCCCCGACTTCCCCCCGGGGCTCCCCGTCTCCTGCATGTCTCGGGCCGAGCTCCCTCCCCCGCGGTGCCTTCGCCCCTCTGGGCTGCCAATAAACTGTTACAGCCACGGGAGTGTGCGCGACTGGGGAGCCGGGGGTAGGAGCAGAACGCCTGAATCACCGCGAACGAGGGAACAGAGGCGTAGGGGCTAGAGACCGCGGGACTCGCGGAGCTGCGAGGGAGAGTGCAGGGCGCTTGCGCCGAATCCCGCCCACACCGGCCCGCGGGGCGGAACTCGCGCCTGCGCAGTGAGGCTGACGCCGGGCAGGATCGCGGCGCAGGACGCGGCGGTGCATTGTGGGCCCTCGCTCGCTCGGTGTCACCAGGTGGCTGTTGCTCGCGTCCTGTGCAGACATCTGGGGCCCGGTAAGAGCGTCCAGAGCGCAGGCGCCGGTCCTGCACGCAGCAAGCCCAAGAGCCGGGACCGAAATGAAGCGTTGGAATCCGGAGTTCTCTCTAGAGTTCGTTCCGAACCGACAGAAAGAAGCGTCTGCGCCGCGACCGCCCCCGGTCCTGGAGCCGCTGAAGGACGTCCACGTGGGCCTAGCCCCGCCGTGTCGAGGCCCCGCTCGCCTGGCCCTCCTCCGGGGCCACTACCTCTACTATCACTACGGCTGCGACGGGCTGGACGACCGGGGCTGGGGCTGCGGCTACCGCACCCTGCAGACGCTGTGTTCTTGGCCAGAGGGCCAGCCCGCGGGCGTGCCTGGACTGGCCGCTGTGCAGACGGCCCTGGAGGACATGGGCGACAAGCCTCCCGGGTTCCGGGGCTCCCGGAACTGGATCGGCTGTGTAGAGGCCAGCCTTTGCCTCGCCCACTTCGGAGGGCCCCAGGGGCGCCTGTGCCACGTGCGTCGTGGAGCAGGGCTTCAGGGAGAACTGGAGACTCTTTACTCCCACTTCGCAGGGGGCGGGGGCCCTGTAATGGTGGGAGGCGATGCGGATGCCCAGTCCAAGGCCTTGCTGGGAGTCTGCCTGGGGCCAGACACAGAAGCCTATGTTCTGGTATTGGACCCTCACTACTGGGGCTCTCCAAAAAACCCCAGCGAACTACAGGATGCTGGGTGGGTGGGCTGGCGAGAGGTAAGCACAGCCTTTGACCCTAGTTCCTTCTACAACCTGTGCTTGACCAGTCTTAACTCCTAAAAGTAGCAGCATGCCCTGGGCTGAGGGTAAGGTCCCAGAACTGAGACTCTCTGGTCCCATACGTATACACGCATTTACTTCTCAAAGGTGTCCCAGCACAGCCTGGGGCCTCTAATAATAAAGTGGCAAAGCCCAGCTAACCATGGCCCCAGCCAATGTTTGAGAGGATCTGGGGAGGTATATAACATACACTGAGTCAAGAGTCGTTGTGGAAGTACTTTTATTGGCAGTAAGGCAGAACATATAAAAAATTCTCCGATTTAGATGGGACAAGACAGTCCCAAGTATAGATGATACCAGGAGTGAGGAAAAGTGGACGGCTCAAAAGAAATCAACATCATCTGGGGCATCCAGGTCACGATACTCCACAATGGCCCTTGGGTCTCCACGAACCATCCTGTGAGATGAAAGAGGTAAAACGGGGTGAGAGATGAGGGTCCCTGAAAGGGAGACTGAAAGAAGTAAGAAAGCTTGGGCTTGGACGTCTTAGCTCATTCTCACCTGTTGCGAGGTTTCCCAGGATAACCCCCCTGGCCTCTAAAGGCATCATAGTTCCCTCGGCCAGCACCATATGGGGCATGCGGATATGGAGGCCCTCCTGTGGGGACTGCAGGGCGGACAGCACCAGCTGTGAAATAGATCAGTGTTCAGTTAGGAAATTATGACCACACTACATCCTAGCTGTTTCCTCTTCACCAGCTCCACCCCCTTTCCTCTCCCTCCTACACTTACCTCCATAGCCCAAGATGGGGGGCCGAGGCTGACCATAGGGCATCAGGCCCTGGGGAGTCTGGTGTGGGTAGGGGAGTCCCGGGGTCAGGCCTGGGGGGAGTACAACACGGACAGAGACATGAATTACTGCGGGGGGGGGGGGGGGGGGGGG